TTTTCCACATTCTCTACACTGATAAGGCTTCTCTCCAGTATGCATTCTCCGATGGTTAGCAAGATTTGAGGACCAGTTAAAGGCTTTTCCACATTCTCTACATTTATAAAGCTTCTCTCCAGTATGAATTCTATGATGGATAGCAAGAGATGAGGACCGGTTAAAGGCTTTGCCACATTCTCTACATGTATACGGCTTCTCTCCAGTATGAGTTTTATGATGTTCAGTAAGGTATGAGGACCGGGTAAAGGCTTTCCCACATTCTCTACATTTATAAGGCTTCTCTCCAGTATGAATTCTATGATGGATAGCAAGAGATGAGGACCGGTTATAGGATTTGCCACATTCTCTACATGTATACGGCTTCTCTCCAGAATGAATTCTATGATGTTCACTAAGGTTTGAGGACCGGGTAAAGTCTTTGCCACATTCTCTACATTTATAAGGCTTCTCCCCAGTATGAATTCTCTTATGGTTAGCAAGACTTGAGGACCACTTAAAGGCTTTGCCACATTCTCTACACTGATAAGACTTCTTTCCAGTATGAATTCTCTGATGGTTAACAAGACTTGAGGACCACTTAAAGGATTTGCCACATTCTCTACACTGATAAGAGTTCTCTCCAGTATGAATTCTATGATGGTTAGCAAGACTTGAGGACTGGAAAAAGGCTTTTCCACAATCTCTACACTGATAAGGCTTCTCTCCAGTATGCATTCTCTGATGGTTAGCAAGAGTTGAAGACCAGTTGAAGGCTTTTCCACATTCTCTACACTTATAAGGCTTCTCTCCAGTATGCATTCTCTGATGTTTAGCAAGAGTTGAGGACAGGTTAAAGGCTTTTCCACATTCTCTACACTTATAAGGCTTCTCTCCAGTATGAATTATCTGATGGTTAGCAAGATTTGAGGACTGGTTAAAGGCTTTTCCACATTCTCTACACTTATAAGGCTTCTCTCCAGTATGAATTCTGTGATGGTTAGTAAGGTTTGATGAATGCCTAAAGGTTTTGCCACATTCTCTACATTTATAAGGCTTCTCTCCAGTATGAATTCTTTCATGTTTAGCAAGAGTTGAGGCCTGGTTAAAGGCTTTGTCACATTCTCTACATTTATAAGGCTTCCCTCCAGTATGAATTCTTTCATGTATAGAAAGATGTGAATGCGATTTAAAGGCTTTGCCACATGCTTTACATTTGTAAGGCTTCTGCCCAGTATGAATTATCTGATGTTTCATAAGACCTGAAGGCCAATAAAATGACTTACCACATTCTTTACATTTGTAAGATTTTCCTCCAGTATGTCTTGTCTTATGTCTATTGAAATTGAGCATTTGATTGACAACTGTATCCCTCAGATTATATTTGTAAGTTTTGTCCCAAGTATAATTGTTTTCTTTCTCAATATGATTTGAAGATAGCTGAAATGAGTTGATCCTTTTATTTTTTTGGTTTGTATTATCCATATTTTGATTAACCTGATATTTTTTGTGATTTGAAATTTGGTCAAATGCTTTTCTACCTTTATAATGGTTCCCTGGAAGCTGAGTTCTCTGATGTCTCTTAGTATTTGACTCTTGGTGTAAGGTTTTCCAATGTTCATTGTATTCATAACTTCTGTCTCCATTACATGTACTCAGTAGTACTTTAGAGAACAAATCTTCTATTCCTGGCTTTTGCAATAAGGTTTGATTTTCTTCAGATGACATAGCTGGGGGGAGAGATATTGTTTTGTTTCCCTTCACATCCCAGTGCTCCTTTATTTGCTCCAAAAACTGTACCAGAAATGGCTTAGAGACAGCAAGACCCAAGGAGACCATGTTCCTGTAGTTTTCCAACATCACATCCACATACAACATCTGCTGAACAGGATACAAGCAATCCCACTCCTCCTGAGTGAAATATACAGCCACATCCAGGAAAGTCAATGGTCCCTGTGAAGCAGCCATATTGTCCTGTTCCTTGTCTTGCTCTGGATTTTCTCAGGTGACCTGATTTTGGGAAGTCATGTTATGAATTATACGAATGTGTCTTGCAAGTGTCACCACAGGTCATTTATCTGCCTCCAGCACAGTTAGTCAGGACGATCTGAAAATGCTGAAAGGGCCACTCTCTTCTGTTCTTTGTCACAGAAGGATCAGAAACAATCAGCTCCACTGTAGGAGGCACAGTAAGATTTCAATGTCTGCAGTGACCCTCTGCTTTCATATGTGTTGGAATGTGGTCTGAGATCCTCAGGTTTAAACCAGAAAGACTGAAACCATGGAGGCCAGCTTAACCTTCAATGCTCCATAGCCACTTCTTGTCTCAGAAAAAAGTTTCTTGACATCACTCTTGACAATGATTTTGGAATCGACTCCAAGAGCTTAGGTGACTAAAGCAAATGTAGACATGGAGGGACTGCATGAAACTAAAGAGTTTCTGCACAGGAAAGGAAGCAATCAACCAAATGAAAAGGTAACCTATAAAATTGAACAAAAATATTTGTAAATCATACATCAGATAAGGAGTTCATATCTAAAATACATAGGAACACATACAAATGAGTAACCAGAGAAAAGTAGTACAATAAAAAATTGTAAGGAAATAAATAGATCTTTTTCACAACACACAAATGACCAACAGATACCTGAAAAAATACTCAGTATCATTAATCACCAGGGAAATGCAAACCAAAACCATAATGAGATCTATTACATACCCGTTAGAATGGTTATTATAAAAAAACAAGTGACAGTTCTATGTATATACACAAAGGAAGATTATTCATCCATGAAAAGGAAAATCTGCAATCTGCAATGATGTGTATGGACCTGCTGGGTATTATATTAAGTGAAATAAGCCAAACATAGTACAAATGCTGTATGATCTTATAAATGGAATCTAAAATAGTCAAAGTTATAGAAGCAAAGACTACCAAAGCATTTTCCAGGGGCTGGGGATTGTTCAGGATAAAATGGGGAGATGGTGAAAGAGGATAACATTTCAGTTATACTGGATGAATACGGTTGAGATATTTAATGTATAGTTTCATAACTATATTTAATAATATTGTATTGTGTACTAGAAATTTGCACAGTGGGTAAATCTTAATTGTTCTCACTGCTACAACTACGACAAAAAAAAAAAAAAGGTGTACTGGCGTAAATTGATAAAAATGTGAATTAGCTTGATTATGATCATTCCAAAAGAAATACACGTATCACAACAAGGTATACACCTTAAATACATGAAATTTTTAATTGGATCGGTGGTTTGGTGTCGACCTAGGAACCAGGAGATCAGTGTTCCATTCCCAGTGAGGGCACATGCCCAGATTTCAGAATCGATCTTCTGTAGGGCATGTACAGGGAGAGAGGCCAATCAATGACTGTCTCACATAGTTGATGTTTCTATCTCTCTCTCCCCCTCCCTTCTTCTCTGCAATGAATAAAAACATATTTTAAAAAATAAATCTGAAAATGTGCTCAAGAAAAAATTCCAAATTACCCAAGAGAAATCAACGAGTCATGGCAACTCTAAATTGTAGATAGAGCATCATAAAATCAAAATGAAAAGGGAACATGAGCAACAAATGTGAAATGACAGCCATGCCATCAGAAAGCCACATAGACATCAATTTCAGCTAGGACGAATGGGGAGGTTTACAGGTCACTCACCATCATCACCCTTATAGGCCAATTGTTAATCCTAGACCCAAGAAAATTTAGAAACCCATATTTAGGCAAGAAGAGTGAGGAAACATCCCTGCCAAGCTCACATATAACAGGTAAAAAAAAAACAATGGAACTATCACCCTTCTTTGGGAAAGTCTACTTTTTTATTGTATATTCTTAATAAATGAATGGTGGGGTGAAAGTCCGTTGAAACATACCATCCTACTCTGAAGTGCAAAATAAGGAATTAAAGTCAGCAGTTTCTTAGCACCCACTTCAACATTTATGTCTCAAAATGTCCAGTAGGGTGTGATTTCATCAAATAACCTATAAGTCTTCAAGATGAGAAAACCACACAAACACATACATGACTACTTCAATTTACCTAAAGAACACATTCATAGTACATGTCCTACTACCGAAGGCGTGGGCTGAGCACTGGTGAATGCAAAGATAAGCACAGCTCTCAGGGTTCTTACAATCCCACTGAAAGGCAAAATATCCATGAGTAGGACAAGGAAATGAGNCACATTCATAGTACATGTCCTACTACCAAAGGCGTGGGCTGAGCACTGGTGAATGCAAAGATGAGCACAGCTCTCAGCGTTCTACAATCCCACTGAAAGGCAAAATATCCATGAGTAGGACAAGGAAATGAGAGAACTCATATCTGGATGTGGCTTTATTATGAAAGTTCTCAGCCTTGTTTCCAAAACTGAGCACTTAGAGCCTCATCCCAAAGGTCAGATCTACCACATGTCCCAGGAAGCAAGTGAAGAAGCTGAAGGTTCTGAGTAAAAAATTAAGTTCATTTCACTAAACGCTTGGTCACAGAGATTTCTTATGCTACCAAAGATATATGCAAAACAGTGGGATAGACAGTGTATACTCAGGAATCTTAAAAGATATCAGGAAAACATTATGGAATGTTTTGAATATGGTTTCTACTAAAAATTAAAGAAGTTTTTAATATACTACAGACTCAATAACAAATACAGTGAATAATTGTGAAGTGGTGGGTACCATTTCAATAGAGAAAAAAAGGAAAAAAATATGAACATAATCATAAATAAGTACTACAGAATAGAAGTCATCAAGAACAGTTTAGAGTTAAAAAGGAATATCAGGATCCCCATGGGGTAACTTCCTTATAAACAGTACCATGCCATATAATTTGACTCAATTATTAGCAAAGTGGAAATGGGAGGCTTTGTGGCTAGCATGGAAATGTGGGAAAATGTCTTACTGATCCACCCAATGGTTCTCACCCAGGTAAGATTAATTCATGGACACTCCACAGAGAGGAAAATACTGTGTCTTGTTTTGATTTGGTTTTTGTCCCTATCTCATCTGATAAGATTGGAGTGTAAAAGTTTGTTGGCAGTAGTAGTGATTAACTGTCCTCTCTGCTTACACTTGTTTTTTCACAGATGTGAGCCAAAGCAAACAAAATATTATTTATGAGCAGCAAAATATGTACAACTAATCTAACTACAACATACACTATGGGTACAATCTTGCTCTGACATACTGTGTCTTAGGCTTTCATTTTTTTAAAAAGCAGATTAAGAATACAGGGGTTGGTCATCAACTTTCAGAAGTCTGCTTCAGTAAATGGTCTCTGTTTCCTTAAGGAAAAAAAAGAGAAGACATAGACCAGGAAAACGGTACTGAAAGCCATTTCTATTTCATGCAAGAACAAAATACCTCCTTTCCCAATTTCTTCACTTGAAGAGAATTTCCTCTGAAGTAATAACGGATTTCTTAGACTGCAATCTTTGGTGCTGCAGAATACCAAATCATCCAGCTACCAGCCACTGGGATTTACGTCCTATTTAACAAACTTGCATTACCACAAGCTTCCTTGTCAAATCGTATCAACACTTAATATAATGAAAGTCAAATAGCACTTAGGAGAATTGATTGCTCCTATCACAAAGCCAGACTGAGAAGAGAGAGGACATACTTGAATCCAACCAGCTGTGCATACAGACCTTCCAATAGGATTTTAGAGACTGAGGATGCAAAGCTTATATATTAAATGTTATCGTGAAGTAATTACGTCTTTTGTGGAAGTTATTTTGCCTTTTATTTCATGTAAAAAATTCAGTAACCATTTATTTTGAATGTATTTGAATTTTTTATTATTTTTAAAAGAGTTTTAGTATTATATATAAATGAACATTACATTCAAAAACTACAGGTGAAAAGAAAAACAATCTTTCATTAACAGTAGGAAAAAGTCAGGGTTATGTTCCTATGGAATCTTTTAATTCATAAAGAAAATCAAATCAGCATCATTTGATAGACATATGTATGGATATGCAACATAATGTATGATCATAAAGATTTGGAAAATATGTAGATCATATCAAATTCTGTCTTTCAGTAACTTCAGCTCCATGTGATGAAAATTCCCTAATATTCTATGTATCCCTGGGATGATGATAATATCCTTGATGGGAAGGGAGCTGTTTAACCTATCACATATTAGTCCTGCTTTATCAGGTTTATGTATTTCAGCTGTTAAGTACTTCAACAGGGGTTGTTCAAAACTGTGAGCCCCAAAATCTCACTGGCACTCACTGTTAGGACTAGCCTCTGAAATCTGTCCTGATGTCTTATTCCCTGTCTGGGACTGAGAGAAAGCAAAAAGTGACTGATTCTGCCTCTGTCCCTGGAAACTTGGCCCAGAATGAAGCTCTGAGGGGACTAGAGCGCCCTGAAGCTCCCCTTGCCTTCAGATTAAATAATGGGAAAGTCAAAATGGGCTGAGAAACCTAGAGACAGAGTAGTGGTTGTGCATCAAACAAACCCAGGGCACAGGGAGGTTCATTCCATTCTTTAAAGATCCTCTTTGGGAAACAGAAATCCAGTGATACTCTTATATCAACAAATGTGAATAAAATGGGAATAAATACCTATCAACAATACTTTAAATAAAAATGAATTAAATGCTCCAATCAAAAGTTACATGGAGGTTGAATGAATAAGAAAACATGTCCCTTACATATGCGTCTACAGGACACACTCTTCAGATTGAAAGACACGCAAAATGAAAGTAAAGGGATGGGATAATATGTTTCATGAGAATCGAAACAAGCAATCAAAAAGTTGGGGTAACAATACTTTTCCATGTGTTTGAGTTAGGAAGTTATCAATCTCCTCAGCTGGAGCAACTCACATTGATATTTCTCTTGTAAGCAGTTGATAATGAACAGCAGTCCCCAAAATAGGTATCAGTATGTGTCTTGTTTGTGATTTAGGTGCATTACTTTTCTTCTCAGGTCGATTTTATGCATGTGAAAGGAATAAAATGTGGCTGATAGTTCTGCATTTACCCTGGAGAGCATCATCATGCAAACGCCTAGAGCATGCTCAGGAAATATTGGTGACTTGACATTGTTTTGTCAGCCTTGGCACTCTCTTCCTCAGCTTAGCATTGCTTTTGTTCTCACCTTGCTGTGTCTCACCTGCCATAGATTATACACCTGGGCCATGACTTTTTCTCTTTGTATATGTAGGCTCTTCCCCAAAATAGCACCACAAATATTCCAATACTAATAGCTCCTGAAGATCTGAGAACTCTGAGAATGTTATTTCTACAAGCAGTTGTTTCTTTTGTCCTTCAGTCATTTTGCTCTATCAGTTTCAGTAATTACCTTCCACCGAAGTTTTGAAACCTACCCCCAATAGAATATTATTAGACAGATACAGACTTTCCTAAAATAGATTAATGATAAATATTAAATTTTTTAAGAATTGAGAGATTATAACAATATTAAAAAATAGTGGTTAATATTTTA